TTAAAAAGAACCTTCAAGAACTCTACAAATCAGATAGAAGTGATAGAAGTAAGAATTGGTAAACCTGGTAATTAGATTGAAGTTGGTTGCAAAAACTCCAGAAGATCAGCTTCACTTCACTTTTGAAAATTGGTTCCAAGATGTTCCAAGTCTGCCCAGCGCCTGAGGGTACAATTCAGTAGTCCACCAAATGATCGAAGCACCGGTGCCTGTCACAGCAAATTTAAGCCATGGCTGTTCTTGAAATTTCGTCCATTGAACCTGCAAAATTCGTGGGCAAATTCGTGGGCAAACTGGAAGAGATGTCGAGCCATGTCAGGTTCCAAATGTCAGATTTCCGACGGTTCAAGCCCATGACTGGCCGCATAGCCCGGCATGTGCTTTGTGATATCCGCATTTTTTGAAAGTCAAACTCACATCTCCCCATGATTGATTGCCAATCCTCAACTTCCGTCGTCAGCTTCATGGCAGCAGGGCTTTTCCCTGCGGCTAATCATAGATACCCTGCCAAAAAAACTTGGTTGGGTCTGGTTCATGATATTCCTCCATTTATTCGCAAAATTCACCAGTCAGTTTGCTCAGTTTGCTCAGTTGCCGACCTTAGGGAGTTCTGCACCAACCGCAGGAAGCTGCACTTTGACCAACTGAGCAAATGCTCCAAGAACCTCGAGGCATCTGCTATTCGGCATGGCAAGCTTTCACGAACACCATCGATGGGATGAGAGCATGGGAAACTGGGAGGCTCCCCCCAAAAAAAGGATGGTTCAACGAACACAGATTAGGGATAAGACCAGCGAAATGCACTGTGCAACCCACAAAAAAATTAAATGCTCACCAAGCGTGAGCTGAAACTCTGGATTAGAATGCCATCACTTTCGACTGGACAAAACTGGCAAGCTGTGCCATGGCAGTGGCAAGTTGGACCCGTGCCTCCGCAGGGACTCAGCTCCAAGCTATATCGGTAAATTCTCCAGCCATGCCCCGAACTACCAGAAGGCGAATCGCCAATCAACCGCTTGTATATATCCATCCTATCCTCAAAACACTGTGTGTTATGTGCTCATTTTGGGAAACTGATGGTGGAGAATCCTAGAATTATTTATTGATGGGGTTCTTTTCGAAAAGGAGGACTTTCCACTTCTTGGTGTCCCAGTGCCAACGCACTTTGGTCGAGTAGCTGGCAACAAAGGCAGCCAAGACAGTCCCATGGCACCAATGAGTTGAGCACGGTGTTTCACACACCTGTACCCTGCTGACGTGTTCTTCAAGAAATAAAAATGATGAAAAAGGTGTTCGGATGTTCACCTAACAGGGGCTGATACTTCGTTGTAACAGGCATTCAGAGATGTCCTTGAAATGATTGTCATGATCATCATCAATGTCCGTTTGATTCAGCGCAAAATCGTCTTCGGCATCATGGAATCACGTGTCATTCAAGACTGGGAAAAACTGCAGACACATCACCATAAGTTGTGCATAGTTGGGCTATTTTTTAATGGCCGCCCATGCAACTTGAGTGGTTGGTCTGCAGCCTCAAGGGGGCCCCCCAACAACCCCCCCATCAACTCTTGTTCAGGGGGCTTACGTCACAAAAAAATCACATGACGACCGTACCATGAGTGGTTGGAAGATTACTTTCCACTGAAAATCACGGTGATTTTTCGTAAGTTCATCTTGAACGGTCAAATTCCCCGTTGTGCGCCTCAGCACAGCTGAAGTGCCAGGTCAACGGGCAGTTGAAGATCTCCTGCCAGCGCTTCGCCAGGTCCTGGTCGTTTCCAAAACGGAGTTCGGATACCTTCAGAGATCGTGGGAGAAGTATTAATATCCTGTCTTTACATAAACAAATTACACAGGACTCAATTGAAGATGACGTTTAGCCCGGAAAAATGGATGAGAAGATTCAGTTGCTGAAATATTACAATCTTGTGAGTTTCCTTCCGAGAATTCGAAGGAGTCACTTCGCCATTCAGAAACTTTTTTAATACTTGGAACCGGAGGAAAAGTTGCTAAGTATCGAAGGCGATGACCCAGTCAACGATCTTTTTCGGGGGAAAATACCCTCTGGACTTTAACGGTTTGCTATGAAAGGTCACCTTGCTAAATAATCAGTAAATCATCAAACTAAATTGGTCAGTTTCCACAGCTATGTAACAAATTACCAGAGGGTGTTTTTGTCAGATGGGATGGCTGCCATGCCGCCACAGAAATGGATTCACTGATATACAGATTACATTATATATATATGTATATATATATATATCATATCAATACTAAGTAATTTAGTATTAGTATTAATCAAGCCTTTGGATAGAAACTTCTAAATCCACTCAACCAAGAATCCCTGGATCCCTGGAGATTCTCAGCGTTTCCTCTGAGAGCACCGTGCCGGGGGGCGCTAAGGCTACCAGGAAGCGAAAGGGCCTCCGTTCGGATCATTTCGAAGTGAAACATCTCATGTGTGGTTGGTTTTTTTAGATGTTTATGTGTTAAGTCCCCCCCATTTTTGCAACAAAACCCATATGATTTGGATCTGTTCCGAACATATCATGGTGTAGAAAACACATTCCGCATGAAAACTGCCTTATTATTCAACATATTTGTTCGTTCACTGTTGCTACTACTATTTCCATGTCATCATGTATACATACATTGTTGATACTATAGAAACCATGTATAGACGTATGGATGTCTGGATGGATGGATGGATGGATGGAAGGAAGGAAGGATGGATGGATGGATGGATGGATGCATTGCTGTAGATTAAACAATGTACTTCATTGAAAGCAAAACCCCACCATTTCTTGCAATGCGGACGTGGGCAGCACGCCCGGCCGGCCTCTGAGTTCGCTCTCGAAGGCCCTGTTGCACGCTGGCTGCCAGAGACTCGTAGCTTTGGACGAGTCGCCAGCACCACCTAGGGACTCCTAGGGACTGGACTGGACGTTGATCATCATTTTCCTCATCCAAACAATAGCCTTTAATTTAATGGGATTTGACCAAGAAAAATGGTGATTGAATGGGACTTACTGGGATTTCATGGTGATTTCACGGGATGTCATGTAATTTAACAAAGAAAGTTGGGGGGATGGCTGTGTCTGAAAATAAGCTATACCCCTCAAATGGCAATGGCAGTGGTAATTGGATAATGATGATTACCCTCTGGTAAATTAACATAGACCCTGGCAAATAGGGGTTGGAAGACTAGTTTCCATTAAAAATTAGTCATTTTCAGGGTCTATGTTTATTTACCAGAGGGTAAGCAAATTGATTTTGCCCGTACCCCATTTTCAGACAACACGCAATTGCTCTGTGGCATTTTGCCGATTTTGAGACATACCCAAGTCAATCAACCCAACGGAGTTTTCTACCTATCGGTCCCCTAATAAACGTGTTTTTGCTTATGGTCAGATCTAAATATACATGATATTACATTACAACTACGTTACGTTACATCTACATGTCCACTTACACTATCATGTGCATTATATAGATTACATTGCAATACATTACATTACCTGAATCGTTACGAGAAAAGTTACTCTCTTTGTTGCCTTGAATCATGTTACATACACTACATACATTACATATCTTACATCCAGCACATGCTCGCAACGTGCGAGGCGCTTGGAGTCCAAGAAGACCACTGACGCGTCGCTGGTCTCTAGGGACGACCAGAGGTCCTGCCATGGCGGATTTCCCCAGGTTTCGGAAAATTGGTGGAAAAAATGGTGAAAAATTGGACAAAAACATGGAAAAAAACTAGGAAACATATCGAAATCTACACCAGTCAGGCTATGTTGCAGTGGAATTGGACTGTATTGCTACTTGTCGCGTGAAGCAATTCAATCAGGAGATGAAAACAAGCAAACATGGGGAAAAAGGGGATATGTTCTGAATCGATCTTAGCCCTTTTGTGACCTCCATGAAGAGCAAATCGTTCCAAACTGCAAAAATGGTCAGAAAATGAATGGGTTGTGCTGTGGCAATCCCAAAACCATGGACAATACCTCACTCTTCCTTTTGAATCCATTTAAGGTGTTTTCCCCTGAAACCAGCCAGAAATTGCGGCATCTCCCAGTGCGAAAAGATCGCCCGCGACGCTCCGGCTGCTTGGTCGCCCCACCCAAACAGTCTCACACTGCACCATTTCCACAGCGCTTCCAGCGGCTAAAGGTGCCTGGCCAAGGGCAGGGAACCATGAATTGGTTGGGGGAAATCTATTGGAAACGATCGTCTTTACCCAAAAAAAGGGGCTTCCAGAGAATTTTCCCCACGAATTATGGAAAGCCAGGGTGGAGCATTAACACTCCTAAACATGGTGTAAGTCTGAGGGCTTCACCAGGGTCTTGGGCCAGTTTTTATCACTGGATGTGCATCCCAGTTACCACCTGGTTCAATCAGGTTTTGGAACCCAGTTATTTCTAGGATAAAGCCCTTCTATAGGCCTAACTAGTGATCATCAACAATTAAATAGTTCTTCACCACTTACTATCCATTGTCATAATCCATTGTTAGTAGAGCCCACGGGAACACCCAGATCTATATCTATCTATATCTAGATATCTAGATATACAAACATTACATTACATCACATCACATCACATCACATCGAATCACATCACATCACATCACATCACATCACATATATATATACACCTATATCTATATAGAATATAATTTACAATATATGGGCATGGGTCAAATGTTAAGGCCCATGGGACCTCCACAGCGTCGATCAAGGAGGAGTTCTCTCCCGCAGTGAGGCCCAGGGACAGTACCTCCATGGACATCTTGCTGTTTCTTGACTCAAAAACATGCAATTGCTATGGGTGAAAATTGCCATTTATAGTTGATTTACCTATTAAAAATGGTGATTTTCCATAGTTTTACCCGTTTATGGGTGATTTACCTATTAAAAATGGTGATTTTCCTATAGTTATGTTAGTTTACCAGAGGGTATGGGTGAAAATGATGATAAATTTCCCATAGTTATGATATGTTATGATAAATTCCAGAGGCTGTGACTCAAAAATTCGGCAGAAGTGGAGACCCCCAGAACTTGCTGATTCGGGGCTCACGACATCACCGTCGCTATAGCTCCAGGAGGCGAGTGCAGCTTCGAGGCCTTGGGCGCATGTCCGGGTGTCAACTGAACCTGAAAATGCTGGAGATCCCAAAAAAATCCGTTGGTTAAATAGATTGGAAATCTAGTCCACCAAAAACAGTCAAAACTTCCTACTGATATACTGATGTGGGAAGCCTTAAATATCAAGGAGTGTCGCCAGAAAACGACCTTTGATCTGCTTGAAGGGGGACAAAAGATTCTCGGAATTGTGGACTTCCCAGCTGTCCAGAATCCATCCAACTCTGCCCACCCCTCCATTTTTTTTGAGGAAAATCAGTTGAGGCATACCTTTCCCCATTAAAACTGCCATTAAGCCTAGGGGTATACCCCATTTATGGACAAAGCCAAATCTCATATGGTTGTTTATGGGGTCAACGCCCCGAGGCGGGCGTGGGAATTTCCACGTTTGTGCGTTTTCGCCAATATACGGGTTTAACGCTCTTGCCGACTGTAAGTGGACGCTTCGGAAGTTACGTTGCTGAACGTTGTTGCTGACGTCTTGCTACCTTGACCGGGTGGGGGGGGGTGGGGGGGGATGATAACGTTCCTTTCTGACGCGTCTGAGGTCGGTTCATGCGCGCACCAACTCATGGTGTCGGTCAGATTTTATTGGATTTTAATTTTTGGTCATGAACTCGTGGTGTCGGTCAGATTTTATTGGATCGTATTTTTTTGTCATGATGGCCATTTTCCGCAGCTCTTTTTTGATGTCCGGTCATCCCGTTACACCTCCGCGGAGGACATTGGCAAGGTTCCAGCGACTGGGTTTCAATGCGTCTTTAACAACATTTAATTTTGTGAGGCAAAGCTGTTTGTTGGATAGAATACAGAAAAACACCATGTTATACTCGGATGGTGCTTTGGCATGGCCAAAGGTTTCCAAAGAGATGAGAAAAGGTTTTCGTATTAAGCAGGTCAGCCATCGTCGTCAAGAATTTCTCAGAGGTCGAAACATAGGAACTCAGATAGCTGATTCCCGTTGGAAAAGTATGCAGTCATGGATTCCAAAGACTGTGAAGACGTTGTACAGAGGACGCCTCAATAAAAAGCTGATGATCTATGTGAGATCATGGCAATTTAGATTTGCGCACCAGCATCAATACATCCAGGCTTTGGGCAAGCTCTTCAAAACGAAGAATGCCGACTGAAAGAGCACAGAAAAAAATGCACTTCATCCGACTTCAAGAAGATGTTGCGGAATTCCCAAAGTTTTTTTTTGACATTTTGACATTTTGAAGCAAACCTCAAAACATCATAGATCAAAAGCATAAAATACTGTAAATTGCAGTATAAAATGATGATTTTTTATTCAATCACCAAGTGCACAATTGTAGAAAACCCATACCCGCCTCAAGGCGGTGATCCCTTGTTTATCCCAAGTATATCCATATTCTATCTCTCATGGTTTCTCTGCCCAGAAATTTCCCCGGGGCTTCGACGGGTGCTCAGCGCATGACCCGAGACCTGGTGCAGTTGATCACATAGCCATCATAGCCATGGAAAATGACCTGTTTATGGGTGACCTGTTCAAAATGATGACCCCAGCCATGTTTCAAAGTGTGAAAAAAATCCAGAGGCTATATCCCCAAATGGCCATTTAGGGACGATTCACCAATGGATGCAACCAATCAGATATTCCCTGGCGGTCCCCGGACCCGTGGAAGAAGGAAAATATGTCAGGGAAAGCAGTTTCAACAGTTTGAACTATATGATCTAAAAAAGTGGTACTGTAGTTAAGTCTCAAAAACCAGGGAATGCAGAAAATCTGCTTTTCATGGTCAATTTCGGCCCTCAATGTTGAGAGAGATCTGGGATGTTGTTTTTGGGGAACGTCCACATTTGGAATGGAGAAAAGGGGCTGTAGAACCAGTTGTAAGATGACTTTGCAACCAATTTTGGACAATCTGAGACATGGGATTTCGTGCTCCCCATACCTCTCTTCAATTTGGGAAGCACGAGAGACAGCATGGAGTTTGTTTTCCATCTTTGCTCTGTGAAAATCCAACAACAAGAATCAAGACTCCTTTTTCTTGGTTGCAACCTATAAAGATCTATAAAGGTCCAAAGTAAACACCACATAACTCGTCATACATTGATGGTGGAAATGATCCCCCTTTTTTTGATCAGGTGATATTCCATAACCATTTTCCGCCTCCACGGCTCTTGGAAGGCTAGAGCTGGACGTCGACTGCGCCTCACCAGCTTTGGGTCACCATCGTTCATAACCTGAGATAATCCCTATATCGAACTCCTGGTTTTGCGTTAAATCTATATATATATATATTCTTCTGGGGTGGCAATTAAAGGAGAATAAGTTGGAAAATGATTGCTGGACTCCAAAAAAAGTAATTCTTTGCGGGGCATCACTCCTGAAAAATGATAGCTGCCTATGTATAGCTAGAGAAATAACCTGTTAATCAATAGCAACCACGGTCTACACAGAGTTGGGTATGGCCTACCGACCCAAGCAGAATCCTGGTTGAGGTTCTGGCAAACAGCAGCAGCGTTGGGTCCGACTCAATAGCACCTGCCACATCACTGCCGCCCAGTTTAGCCATGCACCAAGGAAAACAAGCCCATGCCCAATCAACATGTGTGAGCTCTTCAAAATCGCATCTATCAACTGTTCAAAGGGTGTTGAAGCCCAACTATTCAACTATTCCACAGTGGTTGATAATTAGCAACCCTTAGTAAACACAAGGTCTTAAACTGCTTCAAAGCCCACCCAAGTTTGTGGGTCTTAAAATGTCTTAAAACTGTAAAAAAAAAACACCCAAATTTTGTTCTTAATCAACCCATCTCTTTCTATGGGTCAAAATTGAGAACCCACATCTTTTCTCGTTTTTACTACGGAAACATGATCAAACGAGGACCATTTTACCGACCCTTTTTCAACCACGACCGTTTTATCGCCTTCAGGGCCACTTTGTGCCGTCGCGCCTGTTGCGCCTGTGGCGCCCAGCTGTTCCAATTTCTCAGTCGGAAACAGTGGAATCAGATCTGAATTAGATCTTTTGGGACAAGACACTACTGGTTTACCCGGTGAATCCCATCTCAAAGATCTTGAGTTGTCCATTGAAATTCGACGCTCGCCAGGCCCTGGGGCCTTTTTTTCCTGGACTTTTTGAGCCGACCTAGGAGTCAAAAAACACCTTGGAGATCCAGTTCTCATGGGGTTATATCAGATATATCAGTTATCTCCCAACTCATGGAGGCTTATTACCATGATTAGATCAGCATCTTTCGACCCCAACTGCCAAACTGCCTGCAGCCCCAACAAGGGCGGCCCTAGGCGGCCTTCCAGTGCCAGATCCTCAGAGAAGGTCAGCTGCTTGCCCAACCTCCTCATGGCCTGAAGGGGCCCTGCTGGGACCTGCCACTTTGCTGAGCTTGTCTTGAGAATTCCATACTGTATCTACTCCAGGATGACACTACTGGTGTATGATATGATATGATATAATATAATATAACATAATATAATATAATGTAATGTAATGTAATGTAGTATAATGTGTATATATATATACATATCTATAGTCAGTTGGGATCATCATCCAATCGGTAGGGTTGAAAACAAAACATGAACCACCAACCTCCCTTCGATCATCATGTCTCATGGGATACAGTACCATGGGATATGATAGGATTTCAATTGTAATTTGATATCTAGGGTCAGTCAAAACAGGGAGTTTTGAACGTTAACAGGGAAAATGATGATAAACCAATGAGATTTAGGAGTACCCAATGTTCGTACAAAACAAATCTCAAAATGCCATAAATTCTAGGTATACTGCCATGTATAGACATGCCCATGTGAAATTGCACCAGGAGCCACCTTTTAAGATGTGACCCGAATATACTCCAATGTCAACTCCCTAAAGATTGTATCATAGGTCTTGACCCATCCCCAGAACATAAGTGGTGATTTTATAACATCTATATGAACCCCAGGTTTGTTAGTGAAATCGATGGTTCCTGAGTGTTTCATGTCCCTGTTCCCTTGAAAGCTACTTCTAACTTGTAACATCCTCCCTGACGTGGCCCGCGATTGCCTCACCAGCAGTGTCAGCAGCAGTGTTATCTGCCAGCACCTCGGGGCTAGCTCAACGAGGAAACATGGAATCCAAATCATCCCAAGATCCTCTTTGTTGGTTTTATTTCAAATAACATTGATCATGGGATTTCTGAAAATTTTACACATCCCCGAAATCCATTGTATGCTAGTATAACCCTCAAAAAAGGGAAGCGCTTGTACATGCTTGTACACAGATTGTCATTGCAGGAAAGGAACGACATCCATAAACCTGTCGAAAAAGTCACTCCAACCGGTTCGCCCACCACAAATGTAAACACAAGTCCCCTCAAGGTTTTCACACGTAGAGAAATAGAACTCAAAAATGTTGTTTCTTTCGTGAAAAACGCCATGAGAACCCAACATTCATATCGTGAAGAGATGATCAAATGATGTCCCCAACACCTATGCCTGTGCTCGACAGCTATGTGACTTGGTTCGCAGGATGCCCAATGGCTACTTCCCCCACAGTGAACCTTCCCCCAAGCCAAACGCAAGATGTTGGACAAGTGGGGCGACTTCGGTGATCAACCCATCCAGGATCACGATACTTTGGGCCATCTTAAAATATGTACAGTACCATACCCTATTTGACCCATTGGAAGTTACAATTATCGTCTTTGCCACATTGTCCACCTTGGATGCCCAAATCATGAGTACTTGGCTATAAGCTCTTAGAACCCCATCTTGGTTGCTCCCATTTTTCGCTGGTGGAATTAGCATGTTCACTGCTTCCATCGGAAATGTTTGTAACATTGTGGCCCATGTGAAATTCCCATCATCAGAAGTCCAAGATAGCCCAAGTAACTATATAGGACCAGTAGCGAGTTGTAACATTTTGGGTGAAATCACCATGCCGATCCCCCTGGGTGGTAAGTTCCCCGGCAGCCAGGTGCACTTGCGCTTCTGCCAGTAGGGCAGTAAGCTCCTTGTCAGGTGTCCCAACGAGAAAAAACGGAGACATGACACAAAAAACTGGTTTTTGAAGGGAGAAAAAATATGAAAAAATTAACTGAGAATTTCCCGGATTGAAGTTGGGATTCAAGGCACTAGAATAACAAGAGTGAGAAATTGAGGTGCGGAAAAGGTGAGTTATACTCCAAGAGTCTGACCTGGCAATAGAAAATCCCATGTAGGTTTCCCCTTACTCGCGGTGCCAAATGGCAGACCACAGAAGCTCTCCCGAGGCCCCGAATAAGGCCAAGAGCAAACAAACAGGGTGCGTCCTCTTCATCATCATCATCATCATCATCATCATGACCATCATTCATCATCAATCCCAAGCCATATGTTTCAATGGAATTCTGCCCAGCTCCAGACTCCACCAACCTCAACGGCGCACCTCAGCGTCATAGAGCCTCGCATCCACCTCAGGACGGGCCAGGTACTGTGGCACCGGTGGCGGACAGCTGGGCATCCCAGCCGGCGCAGCTACGGCACCCGCGCGGCCTTGGCGTAGATTGATGGCCAGCATCTCACCCAAAGGGCAGTTTATTGTCATTTATTGTAGTTCATTCTGATTTGGGGTCCATATCTATTTAAGTTGTCTTAAATCTAGGGGAAAAGCCCATCAGATTTCACGGTCTAGCAGTTGATTAATTAATCTTCCCCATATTAAAACGGCTCTGTTATGGGTATAGTAAGCCCGAAATAGATAGAAAATAGTTGGAAACATTGGAAACATGGAAAATATGGGGAAATAGCATCGATACCATCCTGGTTTCACACTTTTCGGCATCTTGTTCGGGGTGATAGGTATACCATGTCGCATCCCATCCCCAGCAAGCTCCCGGACGCACGGCACGGAAGGTCGCAGCAAAGTCGAGGCCATGAGAGCCTGTAGATGGGAAAGTTATCGAACTATTGGTGGATCCAGCAGGCCATGCTTGACCGGGGAGTAATGAGATATCATGGGATACTCTTTGTTAAACGTGGCTATGGAGATTGTCACCATTTTTGAGAGGTAAATCACCGAACGAAATGTGACATGTTCCATGGCTATGTTAGTTTACTGGGGGTATATTGGGATACATTGAGATATCTCGGATTATACCATGGGATATAGGATATATATACAGTAAGAGGATTTTAGGTCGGAGCCCACGGGTTCGACCAAAAATGGTTTTCAAACCTTGGGTCATCACAATCCTGGAAAATCGGTGACCCTGGTGACTGGATGTGGCATCGGATTGGGATCGCCGAACTCAAGGCATCACTGCCATCACCAGCATCAATTGGTTCAACTTGCAGAAACAAGGATAGCCTCTGGTTATGTCAAAATAGCTATTGAACATGGCCATAGAAATAGTTGATTTACCCATTTAAAATGGGTGGATCTTTCCATAGTTTTTTCTATGTTTACCAGAGGGTAATAGTGGAGACTCTCACCGATCGCGCCCACATCTGAGTGTGGCTGGTTTCACTCTGGTGTCACCAAAAATCAACTTTGCACGCGGGAATGAAGCTATAACTCTACAACCTGATCTATTTTTTAAGGAGCAATGCTGATTTCGATCATCCTCAGCACATTCCTAATCTATTTGGGGCGGTCAAATTGAACCATCTCAAAAAAAACTGGGTTGGGTGGGTGAGGTGGCTATAAACCATCCCTTTTCCTCGCGATGAGGGGTCCGACACCCTACTGGAAGTGAAGTGTCGGCCTTTGCCGGCCACCAGAAGTGGAATGGCTAAAAATGTACCACGAAAAAACGCCTAGCCTAAGGACTCTAGGTGAAGTTCAAGAACAGCAAGTCACCTGCATGTGGGAGCTCCTCCGTTGTTCATCCAAAATTCAACTGTTGTTGCGGCTGGTTACGCCATAGCTGGACTCTTTTGACTGCCTTGCTAGCAGCAGTGTATTTGGATTGCCAAGTTGATGAAAGTTCACGCTGAAGTTTGCCAAAGACAGTGTCCGAGACCTTAATCGGTATATCAGGTAGGACTACAAAAGCGGGCCCTTTGTGTACCTTAAGGTATTCAAACAATATAGCTATGACCTGTTCCTGATGCGGTAGTTGAATCCTTTGTCTGTAGCCACTAGTGAAAATTGAAGCACCTTGCACGTATAGGCTGCGAATAAGCCCGCGTTCGCAGTCAGGCATGGGGCATGGGGCTTGCAATTCACTCACTTGTCTGCATGCGATGGAAAACAGATTCGCCAACTCTGAAAATTTCACATCGAAAGCGGCAAGTGAGGCAGAATCTCGAAAGGGGATGAGGCGATCTTTCCCATTAGCACCTACACGCTTGACTGGCAAAAACATCTGTGAATGCAACATAAATGACAAGACCATTTCATACCAAGAGGTTCCTAAAGCCTGGTCGGGATGTTGGTCCAATTGCAATGGCCACTTAAGGTCTGCCATCCATTGGTTGATGGCTGTAGCAACAGTGAGGCCCCATGCGCATGCACCAAGCTCATGCATCTGCTGTGGAGAGGCTGTCCATGTTGGCTGCACCCTATACTGCATTAGACGATCCCGTACATTATGTCGCTGGCTGCCAGTGATTTCGGTTTGTGACATGGATGGTGGCTGCACACGTTTAATTTCGGCTTTACGGTTGCGCACCGCAACATGAAATTTGTAAAGTGCAAACAAATGCTCTTTTTGTTCAGCAAGTTGGGTGTGCATTTCAGTATAGTCTTGCACTAAACGGGGAACAAGATTCCAACAAGCGGTGATGGCGGCATCATTCGCTTTTTTATTCCCTATTCTGTGGTAAAGATCCACCCATGTAGGTGCAATTTCGAGTTCAGCATGGGCTTTTACTTTATGAAAGACTCTATTCCCCAAGTGAATGACCCGCCATAGTCTTATAATGAGGTCAAGATCTTCCATGTCATGTAGCTGCGCCAAATTAGTGGCTGACAAACATCTGGAAACTGCAGTTAAAGTGACTTGGGAATCCGTGTGGATGGCAGTGTTAGCAAAACGCTCGCAGATATATAGCACAGCAAAAAGTTTCGCCCTGTGAATCCTTTGCTCTCCAAAGGGCCGGCAAGCATTCAAGAGCATCAGTGTGGGAGGCATGGCACCAGTTTGGCTGTACGTCTTCGCCATAAGCTCGCGTTCTACATTATCACTGGCCAAGTCAACTACCATTGCTGAAGCACTGAATCTAGTATTGGGTGATTGTGGATGCTGACATGACCCATCGGTGTAGCATCTGATTGTGTTGCCACTCATGTCCAGTGTGTGCAGCGCATGGTATATATTGTCTGCAATGTCGGGTTCAGGTTGCTGCCAATGTGTGAGGTTGACCCACTCTTGCTGTTCATGCTGATGTATGACTGGGAGTTCGTACCATTCCTTTCCTTCTGTCTCCATCCAATTGAATGTCAACTCGTGCTGAGCTCGAAGGTCTTGTACCTCCGGACAAACCATGACCCTATGATACTTCGTGTCTGGGACCTGACAGTTTACGCAAAGGTCTGAGGTGGATGGGTCCCAAGCTGCCTGCTGGACGCCTGTTTGAAATCCACCTGCAATCTGATTGATCAAGAATTTTTGGTCTTTTGGAGGGAACTTGGTCAATATTGCGGAAGTGTCAGTTTTATTAATAGGAGGCATCCCTCTAAGAGCTTTCCTATCCGTATACAAGGTCAACAAGGTTTGTTCCCATTCCACTTGGATGAGACGTTTCCAAGTTTTCCTACTGGTTGTGAGGAGGTTGTGCCATTGAAATGCGGAGGTCTGGATCCACCCCTTTGCATCCATGTGCCATCCTATCTTAGTCAAATAGTATGCCAAACAACTGGCAGGTCCACTGCAATGATGCGACGCTCCATCATGTGTAGCAACAATCCGCAGGAAACTTTGAACAGTCCCAGGCGTGGCTTTGTGCAGGAATCTGTGTGCTTGGCAAATGGCATTTTGTATCAAAACCACCATGGGGTCCATCATTTTCGGCAAAACTTGTATAGCAATGGCAGAATTTCTGCTAACACTTGGTCCTAAAATCGCATTGGCAATGCTAGTTCTCAAAGTGTTGGCATGTTGACTGCCAATTGGGAGCAAGGCTGACGCATAAAAAACTTGAGGGAAAATGCCTACCAAAACCATGTGGGTCTTCGCATGGATGTCCTGTGGCATCTTTTGCAACCGCCGGAGTCTTCGCTCTGCTTCTTCAAATCTTTGTTTGGTTTTCCCAAGTTTCGGTGGACCCCGATATGTCATCTGCCCCCCTAGGTCATTGGCCGACAGAAGGTGTTTCAAGGTGGTGTTGCCTAGATGCTGTTTAATGGCACTTTTTATGGTGGGCAAATGGCTTTTATTGCTCATCCAAATCCAACTCTTCGCCCAATCGACATGCATGGTGAAGGCAGCAGTATATTTCTGGGTTACTTTCAAAACATCACTATGGGTACGTGGATTAGTGGAGAGCCAACCCCAGTTATCCGCGTACGCGGTAAGATGTGTCGCTGTCTGGGCTTGGACAGCTGTGATCCATCCTGTGGAAATAGCGATCATTATGAGTACACTGAGGGGGTCTCCCTCAGGGCAACCTCGGGAAATAGTTTTTGGGACACTGACTTGATTTTTCAGGATCCAAGACCGGGTGAGGGCCTGGAGGGAATTTTTCCACTGTTTTACTAAAGCAAGGGGAAGGCCTAAGAACAGCAGGGCTTGGGCTGCTGCTTCATAGTCTATGGTGTTGAAGCATTTCAGTAAATCGATGGAAAATCCTGAAATATGTGTTCCAAGGTTTTTGTAATTTTCCATGATCCATTGTTGTTCGTAACAAGCATCGTATGGTCCTTTTCCAGGCACGAAGCCGGTGATACCTGGTGGTAGGCGGTTGGCAATTTGGCGCATGGCATGCTTAGACTGGATTTTACTCCATAGTCGATAAGTCTGGGCTAATACACTTATAGGTCTAATCTGGGCAGGACTAACGTCACCAGGGTTTTTAGGGATTGGGAAAGTTCTGCACCACATTAACCAGGCTGGGAAGCCCTGTTGACTAGAATGCATTATCCACATTAGATCGTTAATGGCAGCAGGAGGCAAAAGCTGTAACTCACGCGCTGAAATTTTATCAACCCCACGGGCGCTTCTGGCTTTCAAAGAATGGATGGCTTGAATCCACAGCTCGAGATCCGGTGGGCATGGGGTAATGTCACAATGTGGCATATGTGACAACAGTGTCTGGAGCTCTTCCGGGTAAGCAATGGGTTCTTGAGTCCAAAATGGTGACCAGAAGTCATTTAGTGCTTGGAAGATTTTATCAGGTTGGCAGATTTCTTGCCGCTGTGTGATTGTGACTTCGTCTGGCCAATCTTGATTCGCATGGGGTTTAACTTGGAGATAATAATTATCCACAGCTAAGATGGTAGCTGGGATGTTGTTTATCTCCAGTTTGTATGCGGCATTGAATCTTTGGCAATTGTCAGCATAGAGGATGAGGCAATCCTCTTGTGGAACAGGCATTGCTTGTGCGGTTTCATTGTGAACTATCACTTCCACTTCGTCTCTGGAAACATCTTTCAAGCGCTGGAAAGCATGGTGGTATCCACCGGAGGTTTCATCCACATGTCTCTTACAGCTAAGTTTTTTCAACCATATGGCATGGTCTTTTTGCAAGGCTATTTTTGTCTCATGTCTAGCGATCTGAATGATAGTATGGACCAGGTCTATAGATGGCAAATTCCAGGGGAGAGGGCCTATTTCAGGGTGGCTAAGGGCCCATTTTGGGAAGTTACCTTTAAACCCTGTACTTCTCAAAGCTGATCGCCATTCTTGGATTAAGGATGGTGGCTCTGGGTGGCCAGCTTGGATTCTCTTGAGTCCCCGAAGGACGGAATCAAGTCTGCGAACTTGCTTGACTTTT